GTCCCAATACCACGCCCTGGATAATGACTACTAATATTCTTTCTGCCACTCTAGGGAAAAATATGTCTAACTCTAAAATATTTTAATAAATCTTGCTTTGAATCTAGATTTTTAGAAATAAAATAGTTATTCTTATAACTTATCCTTTAAGTAAACTAGGGAAGGTTTGGCTAGATATTTGTTCTATAGGCAACTTGGGTTTTAAAAATTAAATTTGGAAGAAACAGATGTTTGCAAATTAGGAAAAGAAAAATGTTTTAAAAGGTGATGCTATATCCTAAATGTATGTATACAAATATATATATTTGTATACATGCACACACACACATTTGTGTATCTCCCATATACATCTCAATTTAATGCAGTGGTTGTCAAGTGCGGGGGTGTATTTTGCCCCCCAGGGACATTAAATACTAGCTGGAGAAATTTTCATTTGTTACAACTTGGGCAAGGTGCTACTGGAATTTAGTGGGTAGAGGATGCTGATAAACATTCGGTAATGCACAGGACATTCCCTACAATAAAGAATTGTCTGGTTCCAAATATTATTAGTGCTGAGATATTTGTAAACACTGATATAATGCAATGCACTCTCTTTTTGTAGCATCTCACTAAAATTGGTCCCATAAAGGCCAGCAATGATCTCCTATGAAATTTAAAGGTTTCTTTTGAATATTCCTACAATATTACTTAGTTTCTTTGCAGCATTTGGCAAGATTTACCATCTCCTTCTTTCAAAAAGTTTTTTCTTGACTTACATGACATTTCTTTCTATTGGTCCGTTGTCCCCTTCATCAGCTATCCTGTCTGTGTCTTTTGGCCTTGCAAATGTTGGTGTTTTTCAGAGATCCACCTATACCTTTGGTTCTTCCCTTACACATGATTTCCCTGGGTGGTCTCATGCACACCCATGGGATCAATGACCTCTAGATTTAAAACAATCTAAATCAATATTTAACAATTATTTCCTCTTTGAGTATTATACTCTTGTCAACTGCCTATTAGATTTCTTCACTCAGTATCCCACCAATATCTGAAACTCAACATCAAAAACTAAGCTCACGCTCTTCTTCGGTAAATCTTTCCTCTTTTTAATGACTTATTTAATTACTTTGTCCTCCTTGTTGTTCAAGCTTGAATATTTGAAGTCATCTTTGGTGTCTCCTTCTTCACAACCCCACATCAAATCCTCTCAATTCCAAACCTGTGTCTCTCATAAATATCTCCTGTCTTTCAGGCTATATCATCTCTCTCCTTAACTGTTGTAATAGCCTTCTTACTGGTCTCTCCCTAAAGCTTTGTCATTACTGAAAACCTAGGCCATCAAACGAAATAATCTTGCAAACCATATAGACTAGCTGGTATGTTTGCCTGGCAAATGTAGATTAATTTTTTAAGAACTCAAACCATTGCCTTCTCCATGAAGCATTCCTTATGACTCTGAAGTTGAGACTCCTCCTCCTTGCACTGTGTTCCTTTACTACTTTGTTCATATCTTTATTACAGTATTTACAAAATTATGATTACTCATTGACATGTCTACTTTTTAACTAAACATATTGTCTGCCTAGAATACTCTTCTTGAGGAGCTGCCTTCCTCCCAACTTCCTGAAATACCTCCCATCCTCATCCCGAATCCAATGTGAGCCACCATCCGTATAATTACATGGAGAGCTCATGTTTTTATATCATAACTGGGACACCCTGTCCTTCTTGACTGGGCATCAGAATCAGATAAGGCCAGTTAGTCTCCTCCCTGTGAACTTGAGATTGAGATAGATTGAAGATGAAAGTGAAGTAGAATAAGGGAGGAATAGAGATTCAGGATTGAATTTAATTTCCAGTTCCAGATTGTTGAGGAAGAGTGTCCGTATCCATTCCTTGGGCTTCCAGGTGGCAGCCCTGTTACCTATTAAATAACCCCCCCATAAGTTATCTTGATTGCATTTCTATCACTTGCAACCATAGAGTTCATACATCTACTATGAATTCAAGGGTAAGGATCTTGCCTTGGCCATCTTTGTATATACAGCGCTTATCCTAGTGACATAATAGTACTGTATAGATACAAAATAGATACTAGATACAGAAATATTTGTGGAATGAGTCAATGAATAAAGGAAGAAAGGAAAGTAGGAAAAAATAAGAGAGGTTTAAAATAAGAGGAGAAGAGAAATAGAAATAAATTTAAAGAAAATGAGGCAAATAGAACTGAACTGAGAGAGACAGAGGCAGCAAATGATCTTAAAACAGCAACAAAAGAATAATGAAGAGCATGATATAGGGGTAAAATGTTTGGCTCTCTTGCTTTGGCCCTGCTTTCCTAAGCTTGTCCGGCCCTTCCCCCTTGCTTTCACTTTTGTGCGTCTGTCTCAGAGTCAGGTGGGAGGGTCCAGCGGGGAGCCCCTGGTACCTCAGAGTACCCTTGCCTAGGCACTCACTGTTTCCGTATCTTCTGAATACAGCCCACACAGTTACAACAAAGCTATTCAGCTCCCAGTGGCAGTCACAGATGTCTAGAACTAAGTGAATCTAGAAAACATGGCCTAAAAGAAGTAGCATGAACAGATGGATCCAGAGTGAAGAAGATCATAAAAAATTAGATGGGAGAAGTGAAAGATGATAAGAATAAAATAACTTGAAAGGAGAGGGAAGCTGTGGTAGGAGCACGCTGTTACATAGTAGGAAGTTTGGGATATATATATCAGAGTAATTCCTATGTGTCAAGTTTTCTATTAACTTAGTCCACTAAGTTACAAATCGACATTCTCTTTATCCTTGAACTGTATGACAGAGTTACTGTGTAAATAAAATATTTCATTAAAAAAACCCAAACATGCCCTGGCTGGTGTAGCTCAGTAGACTGAACACGGGCCTGTGAAACGAAGGATCGCTGGTCTATTCCCAGTCAGGGCACATGCCTGGGTTGCAGGCCAGATCCCCAGTAGGGGTCACATGAGAGGCAACCACACATTGATGTTTCTCTCCCACTTTTTCTCCTTCCCTTCCCCTCTCTCTAAAAATAAATAAAATATTTAAAAAACAAAAACAAACAAACAAAAAAACCCAAACAAACCATTTTCTATCTCTTAGTTCCATTCACTTCTATTATTTCCCAGTTGGTTACCACCACTGACTCTCTTCCATCCACCTGCCTTCAGAAAAAGTTTATCTCTCTAGGTACTTGTCATAGGATTGAACTTTGATATACTGGTCTATACTCTGGTATTCACTGATATTGTGCAGCTTCTAAAGCTCTTTTCCCTGATTTTCTTGCATCCCTAACCCCAACCTCCTTTGAAGAGTGCTCCTGGAGCCAGTAATCCTTCTCAAGCAAAAACCTGATCTTGCCATTACCTTGCCTATAGCATCTCAATGTTTCCCCAATGTGGAATAAAGTGCAATTTTGGAAACATGTCCTAGAAAAGCTCTCCATGATCTGGCGTCTGCTTACCTCAGTAACCTCGTCTCTCTGTTCTTCCTTCCAGATACTCCCACTGCCATCCCCAAGAAAAAATCCTCCAGCCATAATGAGCTTCTTCAAATTCTTTGAGTTGACATGTTCCTTCTTCCTTTTGGATTTGTTTCTATGCTATACCCCCTGCTGGAAAACTCTTTCTCCTCCTAGTCTCCTGTTCCAGGCCAAATTACACTCTTTCTCCAGGTCTCAGTGTAAGGGGCGCTTCCTCTGGGCTTTGTGTACACAGCCTTCCACGTGTGCTGCCCTCCACCTGAGCATCTAGTTTTAGCAGCCTGTTTGCTCGTCTATCCCCCTACTCAGCTTGGTGAGGTTGAGGATATTGACTTTCTGATTAACTCTTGAGTCTCTAGCACCTAGTGGTGTCTCGAACTAACAAACATTCAATAACCGTTGGCAGAATGAATAAGAAGGCCGGAGTCTTTGTGCTCACCTCCCTTTACTCCTCTTTCTATGTCATCTGAGCTGGTCCTTGCAATAACTGGTTTGATGAGTTTATCTTCTAATACCCACTTCCTGCCCAATAGAGAAACCTGACAATTCTAGTAAGTATTCTTCCCGCTCCCCAACCTACAGATTAGGGGCTGTCTGATTGATCTTTAACAGGTATTTGCATGATCAGGGCTGTGTAGTAAATCGGTTGCTTCCCATGTTAATTCCTAACATCCTTTATGCCTCTAACCTACTCCATGAATATATAGTATATGGACAGGTGAATGAATGAATAGAATACCATTTAACTGGTCACCTTTCGCCTTCCCAGTAAGGATTATGCCACCCCAGCTCCTGCATATTAGTGATAACCGCAACGTTTTCACGGATCCTCTTGCATCATTATGTTTAAATTACTCAGTACACTTTGCCCATTGGCAGTTTGCTCGCCATTAGAACTCTGAGTACGTCCACCTGTTCCTTTCCAGCAATTCGGCTTCGCAGCTGCGTCTCTCCTAAGTGAGAACGGAGGCTCAGAGCATGCTCAGTAACCAAAGCCCGGTGTAATGAACTGTTCTGGCCCCGACTGGGAGCTCCGACAGGTGGCAGGTATAGACAATGCTGGCGAAAGGGACTTGTCCTATCTCGTTCAGCTGAACATGTTTCCCCCCCCTGAGGCCAGTCTAACGTCCTGGCAACCTAAGTGTAAACACTGGGGGCGTCTTCCTTTTAAACAGAAGGAGTTATTGTGAAAAATTAAAATGATTGGCAGGAGCTTCTCAGAGCGCAATCTACATGAATGTCAAGTGTTAAGTGATGCTGTGGTTAAGACGAATGCTGACGGAGGCGGGGATGAATGGAAGTGGTGCCTATCTTGAACCTCACTGGGCATATCAAGATTTTTTAAAGGATTCTCTGAGATTGCCCAGCCCCAGAATTTCAGGGAACCGAGTCTCTGCCTCCTTGCTAAGAGAGAGCCTCTCTGGGGGAGGTGTGCGCGTGTCCGCGCAGCGGAGGGCAGGCTCGGAGAGAGGCCACGGCTCCCCAGCAGGGGGAGCAGAGAGCGCGGCGAAAGGCCCGGGCAGGGGAGAGGACGCGGCTGCAGGGGCAGGGCTGGAGGAGGGGGTCCGGACACGCTCAGAGGCTGGCTGCAAGAGACCCGACTGCCTTGGAGAGCCGGAGCGGCTGCCGGGCGGAGCTGACAGCAGACCCCCTAGTGCCGGAGCCCTGCGCTTTCGGGTCCCCTGCTCCTCACACCGACCTCGCGCTCAAGGTAAGGAGGGACGCGGGGTGCAGCCTTCTCCCAGCGCGGCCGGCTGGGGTACCAGGTGGGGTTCGGCCTCCCTCGCCCCTGCCGGGTCTCCTCCGCGCCCAGGAGCCCTGGGCGGTTGCCCGCAGAAACTCGCGACCCTCGCCATCCCCGCTTTTACTTAGCAGCGCTTAGGACCCCCTCTCCTCCCTGCGCTCATTTCCCTTCCCCTGGGCAGCTCCCGGAACCCCGTACCCCGGGCTCTGGGGGAGCAGGCGGAAGGTCTTCCACCAGGTGTGGGGCGTAAACACTGGAACCCGCTTCCGCCCCCCCCTCCCCAGTCTGCAATGATTTCCAGGTTGAACTATCATCGCTCCTCTCCTTCCCAAACATACCTGTCCCCGCCTTCTGTTACCATCCTAACTTTGGGGGGAGATTCACTTTTGGTCAAGGTAGGTATAGCGTCTTATCTTTTGTATCTGCACCAAACGATAAGTTGAAGGTCTTTGGCAATTAATTTACTGGAAATCAGATACTGTGATGTTTCTAAGGTTTTCTGGCTGACTGTGGTGCTACAACTTTAGCTTAGAGCAATAGCTCCTAGTCCAGTGCTGAGATCCTGATTCAGAAATGCGTGTATGTGTGTACACGTGTGTATGTGTGTGTGTGTGTGTGTAGGTTTCAGTGTATTTGAAAGCACTCTACGTGATTGAGATGCACTCTCTCTTTATAATCACTTGAAAGCATCCGTAGGATCCGCATAGGAGGGGGCCCCCGACTGTTTGTAAACCTCACCTGGAAATAGTAATGTGAATATAGAGAGAAAACGGAGTGAAAGCTGCTTCCCTTTACGTTGGTGAATTTGGTGGGGAGCCATTAGTTCAGAGATGAGAGTTTCGGGAAGGGGGTGTTCAAGTTCATTTGAAACTCAGAGAGTGGAGAGAAATACCACTTTAAGAGCCCTCGTTAAAGAGTTAGCTTTTAAACATCAATCTTAAATATGTAAGAATTCCTTCACAAGTGCTTTGGCTATTAGAAAGAGTGAGACCTGTGCTGTGGGAATCGAAAAGTCTTCTTTCACATGCTTGCATCGATTGACTTTCTGTCAGCGACCACGGGCATATTGGTTACTTTAAGGCTGGAGACCAAATGGACTATTGTCTCTAGGAATAGAAGGAGGAATGAGTGTGTAAATTAATTTGGATCCTGTTTACTTACATTCCTAATTTTTTAAATCAAGCTCTTCTACCATGATTTGGCTGAGTGTCTGTAAATTATATTGTATTTGAAGTTACACAAATAACTGTTTCTCTATCTTGTACTTTGTCATAGATGTACATCTGTATATTTGCTTTTTATGTATATCTGTATAGGTACCTGAACCATTTTAAGTACACTCTCAGAGTGTAACTGCCAGGAAAAATAAAGATTTTTATTTGTCTTTTGGAAAATTGAAGTGAAGGACTAACTTTGAAAAATACCATATAGTGGGTAAAATATTAAGCCATAGATAAAATTAGATGCTTGTTATGAAATGGGGATGATATGTGGTACCTGCTTTCAGGGATTTTAAGTACAAGTAGGAGACTTTCTGTAAAGCATTTTGAACTTTAAGAATCACTGTCTAGATATTGAGCCAATGTGGTTGTTTTCCTGGCAAACTTTTTCTTCTTTATAAAATTAACTTTCCCTTAGGAAAAGTAGTACAGATGCACAAAATTCAGCTAACCAGGTCCAGAAAATACGGTTTGAATTTTAAAAGTGACCTTAATTCATCTGTATAGATTTAATGTTTGTAACATGTGCCACAAAATATGCAGAAATATTCATTGCTTGCTGACCTTTTCAAATCATTGGCTTAATGAGGGGAGTTATGCACAGAATACAAATTATATCATGAATTTTGTTGGCTTAGGCAAAACTATTATTAGTTTTTCCTAAGGTTTTTGTGTATATGTGTGTATACTGGGACTGAGACTTACATAATTATGTACATATATGTAACACATGTTTTTAATAGGAACAAAAACCCACAACATTTTTCTTCGTGGCAGAACACTATAAGCATTAGAGGTTTTGATTACTTTTTAATGGAAATTTTAATATGACAGAACTAAAAACTTCAAGGAAATAATTCCATAAAGATCTATTTGGAACTGAAGGTCTTTTTAATAAAACACGTTTGAAGCCCTCAGTCTGTGGGCTTAGGATATGTAGAGCAGTCCTTTGTGATTGGGTAAGGGCGGTAGATCCAATTCTGGCAGCTTCAGACAGTGGATGATTAGACCCTGCCACTCTCCTCCAGACCTTTAATTTGGTCTGTAACTTGATGCTTCACTGACCCCACATTCTCCCTGCCACGCCAGCTCACAGAGGAATTGCTGGCACTCTGGATTGAATTTTTTTCCTTTCCATCAATTAGAACATGTTTGCATTGGTTGCAGAATGTAGTTACATTTTTAGCTCAGCATTCTAAGAAATAACCTTTGGTTATGAAGAAAATAGTTGTAGTGTGGCCTAGATCACAAATTGCTTTATTTAATTGCTATATTAATTTCCCATTGATTCAACTGTGTGGGAATAATAGTCATAGATTATTAAAATTGGAAGGCACTTTAGAAGTCATTTAGATTCTAATCCTTTGTCTCTACAGATGCATATGGAAGGACTCATAGTCACAACCATACTTTGACAATACCCATTAAATTTTATATTCTTTCCAGTTCTTGGAGTAATGCGGATTTTGCTCACTTTAAATGGATTTATGTACAAGTTCCATAATGTGGAAATGGCAGCAAAATATGTTGCAAATCTCATCTAGATTTCCAGTGAAACTTGAAGTGTGGTGCTGAAGGCAGTACGGGCCATTCTAAACTAGCATCCTGGGTTTTTCATTACAGTAGGCAGGGGTGGGGGGGGACTTCTTCAACTAGCTGACAGAAGAAAAGGAGTGCACTAAGATGAGTATAAACAGAAGAGTAAGGTGGTGAGGCTTGTGAAAAGCATCATCTACTAGACCAGCGAATCCTTCAGGAATGGTTGGCCTTTAGACCCCTCCCCAGAGATTTTAATCTGAAGTAATGCCAACAATCAATGAAGTTTCTATTCCTCAATACCCAACTGAGTTAGAGCTTGATTTCGGAAGTCCCACCTGATGTTTGTCTTTCAAGATCCTCTGCAGTAAAAGTTCTCTTTGCTCATGATCCCAGTGTTGAGACAGTTTTCTTTTGTTACCAGTTGTAAAAGAATTTATTCTGATATGTAGGCACCTAAAAATTTCATCTAATCTTAAGAAAGTATATAGAGGCCTGGCCAGTGTGGCTCAGTTGGTTGGAGCCTTGTCCTGTAAACCAAAAGGTTGCTGGTTTGATTCCTGGTCAGGGCACATGCATAGGTTGCGGATTCAGGGGCACGTACAACAGGCAACTGATTTATGTTTTTCTCCTACATCAATGTTTCTCTCTCTCTCTCTCTCTCTCTCCCTCTCCCCCTCCCTCCCTCCCTCCCTTCTCCCCTCTCTGAAATCAAGGGGCATGTCTTCTGGTGAGAATAATAATTAAAAAAAAGAAACCATAAACTCCTTAAAGCCCCGACAGGTAGCCATTATTATCCTGTTCAGAAAGATCTGTGATTCAGAGAAGTTAAGCATTGTGACCAAGGACTCACATCACTTTCAACACCCCACACTGCTTCCCTAACTAGTGCAAGCTGTTGACTAAATCTATAGATGACAGTATGCTTATTTTGGGGTATCTGACAGATTTCCTAATTCTGAAAGGACTTTATAAAGTCTTCATAAGTGTTTATATTTCAGTTTAAGTGCATTCAGTGTGTGGAGCTCACCATTCTGACATTGATTTAATGGTTAAATATATTTAATCCATAACAAGGATGTCTTTAAAAATATCTTTTCTTTATTATGCCATGACATTTTAGTGATCCACAAGACATCTCCTTTATGACTAATTTGACATACTCTCCATTGGTCTCTACAAGTGATTCTCCAGTGTATGGTACCGATTCATTCAAGACTTTCTAGAAACTGTATTGTAGCATCACCCTGCCAGAGCAAGTACAAGTTAAAATGTGTGTTACTTTATTAAATTTAGTTTCTTTTATGTTTCCTTTATATTATAGTTAGGATGTTATATTTGTTTGGTTTAGAAAGTATGTATGTAATTAGGCTATATTTGCCATGAATTTCATTTCAAGATAGTAAAAGGATAACTTCAAAATATTCACTAAAAAATGGGTATTGGTCTGATAGGGTAGAGAATCATTGCCCTATAACAATATTACTGAATCTGTCACAAATATAACTATGTGGCAGTGAATGTTTTTCATTTAGTGTCATGAATTTATACATCTTAATCAGCTTCTTTTGGCTTTGGATTAACATTGAGCCTTACATCACAAAGTGAAGAACTGTCTCCTTAAAGTCTAATCTTGACGCTTCTGCCCCAAGAGACAGTCCTACCTGCAGAGGACTTTCTTCCTCTTTCACTGCCCTTCTTCCGTTGCAGTTTCTTCCCCATCTCTGAAGGCAGAGGTTAGTCTCTGAATTAGTTGGTTCGTAGAAAATCTTTGTAAACTCTCTGAAGGGCTCCACTGCCAGGTCGAGTGTGTACAACAATTGGACAGTTGGCCACACATTGGCAAAGTCCACCTTCCCAGTCTGCAGTTTGGGAATGTTGTCGTGAGCAACTCCGAGTGTTTGCCACACTCTTCCTCACATCCGGCCCCTCCTGGAGAGGGTGGTAGTGTCCCATGAAATTCTGCTTTGTAAATGAACAAAGCAGAAACAGACTCACAGATCCAGAGACAGGCTGATGGTTGCTGGGGGCGGGGCGGGGGAGGGATTGGGGACTGGGTGAAAAAGGTGAAGGGATGGAGAAGTTACAAAATAGTCATGGGGGTGTGAAGTGTAGCATAGGAAATATAGTCAATAATCTTGTAATGACAGCTGGGTACTGGAAATATCACGGGGAACCCTTGGTAAAGTGTATGATTGTCTAATCACTATGTGGTACACCGGAAACTAATACAAAACAATATTGAATGAAAACTGTAATTGAAAAAAAATTTTTGAAGAAAAACATTTCCAATGATTATAACTTAATATTTTTCCATAATATTTAATTAGTCCATATTTTAAAAAAATCATATTCTGCATTTGCCCTGGCTGGTGTGGCTCAGTTGGTTGGAACCTTGGGAGTTCCATTCACAGTCAGGCACACGGTACCTAGGTCGTGAGTTCCATCCCTGGTCAGGACGCACATGGGAGGTAACTAAATGGTGTTTCTCTCTCACATCAATGTTTCCCTCCCTCTCTCAGTCTGTTTCCCTCCCTCCCTCCCTCCCTCCCTCCCTCCCTCCCTCCCTCCCTCCCTTCCCCTCCCTCTAAAATCAACAGACATTTTAAAAAATATTAAAAGAATCATACTCTCTATTGGTATACTTCAGGAGTTTATCACTATTTAAATGTTTTCTGAGAAGGCATGTGACTAGAAAGAGGTAAGACTATTTGGACTATCATATTTAAATTTGTATATAAATATATTTAAGTTTATAAGTAGGTTTATGAAAAAGATGAAAGAGCAAGTGTGACAATTGAATAATTTTATATTTTGGTTTTGGAAAATACAGAGGTGTATAAAGAAAAGTATCAGAATTACCTCTAATCTTACCATCCAACAGCATCTGACATTTTAGCATAACTTTTCCAGTTTTTAACCATGCATTTGGGCATTTATGTGTATGAATGTTGTTGTTACAGAATGAAGATTTTTTTCTGTGCATTCTCTTTTTGTTTTTGGAAAACCGCCCTAGCTGGTGTGGCTCGGTGGATGGAGTGGCAACCTGAGAGTCAAAGGGTTGCCAGTTTGATTCCCAGTCAGGGAACTTGCCTGGGTTGTGCAGGCCAGGTTCCCGGTAGTCAGTGTGTGAGAGGCAAACACACGATGATGTTTCTCTTGTCCTTCCCCTCTCTAAAATAAATAAATAAAATCTTTAAAAACAAAGAAAACGAAAAAGCCCCTTAACAGTGTCATAAGAATTGTCCATGCTATTGAACATTTTTCTTAGCTGTCTGGACTATATTTTATTTGCTCCTGTTTCTTCTGATAGATTGAAAGGTGTGAATTATATCTTGAAAATCCAACTATTGCTGCCTTAAGGGTTGTGTGTGTGTCTGTATAGACATACTTGATTGCCTTAATACCAGGAAGAAATGGTATTTACTACCTTTCCTAGTATAAGATGAGAAATTTAACACTTTTATTACCTCTCTTTCTCTAGCTCCTTTATTTTCTAGTTTTTTGTTTAATCTAGGATTATTAAAGTCAAATTTATTATTAATAATAAATGATGAAATAATTTATAGTCTATTTAAAGAATTACTTTTAACATTGTATTTGACATTACAATAACATTGTATTGTTTATGCCTATATTGACCTAGTTTATTTATACTTAACTCTGTTCAAGTTGTTTTGCTTATACCAGCAAAACAACTTAATATTATTACAGTATATTATATTACAGTTCCTCTGTCCTTAAATTCATATCACAATACTTTAAAATATATATTCAAGTAACTTTTTTCGGAGGTTTTGTGTAGCCGAGAGTGTTTTTTAAAGGAATTTGTTTATCGAGGGCAAGAGGATGCGAGCAATATAAAAATCAGAAGCTTATTTGGCTTTAATTGGCTTTTCTTTCTCTTGTCCAAGGGGGGGTTGGGATTTTATTTGACATTTTCTAAGGGTCCCAATCTGCTCATGAAATCCTCGTGCAGGGGAAGCTGTGGGGCAGAGATTTCATAAGTGACTCATTGGGAGAACGAACTCTTGATCCGGGAGGAAGTAGCCGCCCAGCGGCCTGCTCCTTTCCCTTTGCTTCAGTGTGCCACAGAGCAGCCACTGCACACCGTGGCGAGCCCAGCAATTAGCGGAGAGAAGCTCAGGGAACCTGCTCTGCCCTCTTGGCACCGGTCCAGGTCCTTCATTATTCTGTGTACAGCCAGAGGGTCTTTTTGATTTTCCAAAAACCCAGGGAACTCTTTTTTTCATGAGTACCATCAGGTCTTAACTTTGTTCAGTACCTCTTATCCCCAGCAAATTTGTGAAAGGTGAGCATCACTGTTGACACGTTCCATCTGAGAAGGCATTTTGGCGAGGCCTTGGCCCCAGGTGCTGCAGATCCTCGGCGGGCTGGAACGGATGGCCAGTGAGGACAGCCAGTGAGCAGAGTGCCGCTGCCGCCAGCTCTGAGAATGTTTTTAAGAAACTGTTTTCAGGAAGCCAGTAGAGATGAGAATACTTTTCTGCTTTTCTTGCTTTTATATAAAATGCTTGGGTCACAAGTCTTTACCTCAGTACTCTAGATATTGCTCGACTGGATTCTAGCATTAGGGTTGCAGAAACGAAGTTAGTTTTGTAGGCAATCTGTTTTTCTATCTTGATGATTAAAACATTGTTTTCTTTTCTCTACTTTTTTTTAAACCAGATTATATCATGGCAATAATCTGTTTTATTAATTTTTCCTGGCACTTTGAGTAGTTGTGATGTGACGACAAATCTTTTTGTATCTCAATGTTCAATTATTTTTTCTGGTTATTTTTTATTGATACTTTTTGTTTTGCAATTATGCATACATTTGTGTATTCATCTCCCATACTATCTTTTATTTAATAAATTCAGTCTTTTTGCCTTTTCTCTGAATATTAGCAGAGTTCCTCAAGTTATCATCTACTTTGATCAGATTTTTAGTCATTTCTAATATGTTACTATCTCCACTGCAACTTTTTATTTGGAAATGGTATTTTTTTAGTATCTAAGTTGCCCTTCCTAGTCTCAGATTCTTCTTGCTTTATGATTACCTACTTTAACTTCATAGTGATGAAGTTCTTTTGCTTTTTGTTGAGTCCACTGAATAGACAATATATAAAAGTTCCTACTGTGCAGCAACTTTAGTTTAGTAGAAATAATTACCATCTATGTTAATTTATTGGAAGTGTCTCCTTTTGAAATATACTGTCTTCGTATACATAGTATTCTTTGTTTGACTGCTGTACCTTGGAGAATTAATCCCTATTAGTACAAAAGCAGGAGTTAAGATGTACAGATGCGTGGACCCTTGGCTGAACCCACGGTCAGTGAAAGGAGAAGGAAAAAGTTGAAATGTGCTGTGGTTTACTTAACTACATCAGAGAGAAGGAAGAGTGCAAGGAGCAGATGGTACTGAAGAGGGGAACTTTGGCTCTTTACAAAATGTTATTATACAATGCCATAAATGATTTAAAATAGAAAGCTTTATCTCAGTTTCCACATACTTTTATACATTATCTTATTTTATTCCTAACACTGTTGCTTTAGAGTCAGAGGGCCATGGCCGCCTTTGGATTCAGCAAGTTTTGGGTTAAATGAGTTCCTTACTACCAATAATGCAAACTTTGCAAATTACTTTAGTTTTCTTAGCCTCCCTTCCTTCACGTGGAAAAGGTAATATTGACCACATAGAGTGACACAGATTTCATGATATAATTATGTAGGGATTGTCAGAACACAGCTGGTAGAAAGCATAGATGAGATGGCCTTTGGAGAGTGTGGAGCCAGGCCTTCAACAATGAAACCCTGAGGACACAGGAAAAGCCAATACAAGGAGACGGAGAAGGAGTGGCCAGAGAGGAGACAAAGATCAGGAGAGAGTGACATAGGCAGTCAAAGGGACTTTAGAAATTTAAGATGAAAGGAATTCTTATTTTCGTGGTGAGGACAAAGACGTTATCATTGCGTTTGGCAGTTAGATTGGTGTGACATCAGCCACAGGCGGTTTCAGAAGAAATGTACAGCTGGAAGGAAGGTTGCAGTGGAATGATTCATGAGAGTAAGGAAGAGGGGAGTGTAAACAGCCAATAAAAAAGTTTCTCCCTTAGGAAAAAGGGAAAAGATAGGAGGGGAGAGAAATAAGTCAGTAGGGAGATAGATATTCAAAGTTGCAGAATTGCATTTGGACTGAAAGGAATAGCAACATTTCAAAAAAAATCAGGGACTGAAAATTTGCCAAGTTTAATTTTTTTTCAAATAAGGACATTAAAAATACTTCTATCTGCCCTGGCTGGTGTGGCTCAGTGGGTTGAGCATGGGCCTGCAAACCAAAGGATTGCAGGTTCGATTCCCCGTTGGGGCGCATGCCTGGGTTGTGGGCCAGGTCCCCACTGAGGGGCATGTGAGAGGTAACCACACATTGATGTTTCTCTCCCTTTCTTCCCTCCCTTCCCCCTTTTAAAAATAAATAAATAAAATCTTTAAAAAATAAAATAAAAATATTACCATCTCATTTTAACTTGTTTCAGAAAAGGAAGAAAGTATTAGCATTAAAAAGCTGAATAAATTTAGCTCTATAAGAAAGTCAGTGTCAGATAGTAAAGCTTTTGTTTTCCTGCCCAAGATGTATTTTTCTTCCTGGGTTTAAGTTTCCATCTGTCCTCCTTTAAAGGTCTGGTTTCACCGGAGGTCTTCTCTCTCAAATATTTCCAATCTCCTTCTCTATGGACTCCTTCCCATTAGCATGTAAGTATGTTTTCCTCTCCCATCTTAAATACGTAGGAAAGAGACAGTGACCTAAGTGAAAACAATGGCAGAGGAGATGGGAGGAGGGGCTAGATAGGAAGGACATAAGTAGCTTTATAAGTAGCTTTAGCAGTAGGACTGATTGGATCTGGCAGGTGAGAGAGGGGGAGGAATCTGAGATAATTCCCAGGGCGACTGTGGTAGGTGGTGCTGTCACAGAGGAGCAGCGGGGCTGGGAGAATGAACACTCATGGACTCTTTTCAGGATGCAGTAGGTTTTACGGGTTGGGAGTTTCGACTGTGTCTTTGACTCTTGCTCCTGGGTGTCTCTAACTAGACCCCCACTGAACGCCAACACCCCACCTTGGCCATTGCCATTTCATCCCTCATGGTGGTTGTTTAAACCTCAGTTTCTGCAGTTATTTAACCCTTAGGAGTTCAAACCCTTGGGAGTTCAAACCCTTGGAGGAGTTTGTGAACCAACCGAATCTGTATATTTTCTACTAGAAAAAATAAAAATGAATCAATTGATAGAAATATGAGTACCCATGTAACAGGATGTTAAAATGGAACCCTCTTGGTTTTCAGTTTTAGCTGCATCTGGACATAATAGAGGCCACGTTCCAAAGTCAGGTGTAATTGCACAGTGCAGATTGGAAAAGAAGTACAGGAGAACCAGTTTAGCATTGTTTGCAGTTAGCTCATCTGCCACCCCCAGCTGATAAAACAGGCTGCAGAGACCAAGAAAATAATGATTAGAAGACAAGTGTTTAGTTAGACAGAGTTTGTGGTGGGTTTGAGTGCCCCCTCCTGGCCACCGTGAGAGAGGGGTATGAGGTACTTGTCCCTTCATCTCAAGCCTGGAGGAAGGGGTGCCGTGCAGACCATTCGGAGTGTCAAATGTGTATGACCTACAGATTCAGAGGCACAATGGATCAGAAATTCATGCTTGAGAAATCTGAAGGACAAGAGACTGGCTGGCTAGGTCCTCTAGTGGCAGATCAAAAAAGATGTAGCTATATTGTTCCAGTGTTGGATAGCACAGAATGCAGGTTTGTTCCCCAAGGACCAAACGTAGACCACACTGGAAAATGAACTAGTCAGAGGTCATCTCAGGTCACATGTGAAGGGCGACCTGGACCCCAGCAGGGTAAACTGAGGGAAGAGCCTTCAGTAACCATTTGTGAAAAGGGATCTGTAGGGGACAGAACTCCAGTGATAAGGGTGGAGTGGAGGCTCTCCACCTCTCCACCCCCTGTTCTCCTTATCGCCACCCTACCCTTGGCTCAAGAGAAAAAGTAACATTTAAATGCCCATGAAGTCCATTGATCGCCAGCATTAGGTCATTATATATGTATTAGCCATGCAAGAATATTGCTGCTGCCTTTTCTTCCTTTTACCTCATCCCTGTTTTTGTATCAGAAAGTGGGGTAACCTACCTTAGCACTTTGGCTACAGAGAAGAATCTTTCCCTGTCCACCCTCCCCAGTACCAGTGGCCAGTGCTCAGCAGGCCATAGCTGCAGGAGGGGAGAAGTTTAACTTCACATGAAGTTGAAAGAGTTTGAGGGCTATATGAGATTGAACACATTAATTACAGAACTATGACTGAGTTTTAGACTTAGAGTGAATTGCAAATGTTGTTATTTTTTAAGAGTGACTGGGAAGGTCATGACAACTGCTCTGAATTTTATTCAAGGATAAGGGAAGAACCAGCCCCATACAATGAACATAAAGAGGCAATGGAGGAAACATATAAAGCATATTTCTGATTAGAGCCCATAGGTCCTGCTTGTCCACTATATGGGCCATACCTGTAAAACCATCTGTAGTTTTTCAGTGATATAATCGTATATATGTAGGTCAGTGATATATAGTTTTCACATATAATTGACAAGAGGATAGAAGGGAAGGGCAGAGCTGGTTATTACAGGAACTAAATCTATTCTATTCACAGAAATGTCATGATAACTATTTTCATATCTTAAAATGATGCTAGCAGAATTTAATTAATCAATGAAAATATACATTAGGTAATTTTAAAACGAGGTTTGCAATCTGTTCCACAGCTGAGGAAATGAGCTGAGATATTGCCTTTGTGTAATAAGCACAGAAGACATTTTCCCCCTTCTGTTTCCAGAGAATTACAGAAGTGAAAATGGTTAAGATTAATTGTTTACCATTTGTATTCTGTCATTGATCAATTAAAAAAAAGTATGTGTGTTCCTGTAAACAATAAAGATGATGCCTATAAGCCCATAAACTCTAGAATAAACAGAATGCTAATGATTTCTCTTTTCAGCTTTGGGGAATTTTAAAAGGGCTTTAAATTATTAGCTTCCATATTATCTTCCTTGCATTTGCAATGTTCGTTCAATCAAAGTCTTTTAATAGTAAAGTAGTGACAAGGGGACTATCTAAATAATGTCTCCATTAAAGTGTTCCTGGAAGTTGAAAAGACAACTTGAAAAATACATGTGAGACACCCATAAAGGATGTACAATGACAGAGAACGAGTGCAGTTTATTCCATAGAAGTGGAATTTTGGATCCAGGGGTAGGATATTAGATTGACCTGAAAGATGGACTAAAGGTGATGACCTGGCATGAGCTCTCCAGTCAGTCTTCTGTGGCTCTAGAGGAAACCCTGCTGTGCCCTTAGGATGCTGAGGGCAATGCTGTGTTGCTTTAGTGCCATTAAAAATACCATGTGGACTTCCGTTAGAGGAGTGGTGAGAGCCAAAGTGATAGAAGTAATGTGACCTGGGGCATACCTCCTAAATGTACTTTGTTGGGAACCGCTCTGCCTGGTTTCGGGAGTTGTAACTGACCCCCATGGCTAAGACTGAATGAGTGGCCTCCAGAATGCAAGCCACAAGGAGATAAAGCTTGTCTCTGCTTCCTCCTCTGACCCCAATGCATGGTTGGTTAGTCAGAGACAGGTAAGACCCCTCAGAGGGGGGGGCAACCTAAGCCAGACACAATCACTTGAGAGGCCTTCATGGAAGGACTTGGGGGGCTGCAACAAAGAGGGAGTGATAGACCCTCTCCCCCTGGCTATTCTGACATAGCCCCAGTCCCCAAGTCCTCTGGGGGAAGTGCCTCCTGGCTCTAATCCACTTAAGCCTGAAAACCTGTGATGGGGAAGGTGGTGCAGCCCTTTGCTGGCTAGAGTGGGGTCCAGGTGATCAGGCCTAAGAAAGAATATGTAAAATCTTGTGAAACTGGCTTTGTTTAGAATGCTCTCATTTAAATAAGGGTCCAAGCAAGAAGTTTGTTCCTCAAAGTTTTATGGCCTGTTAGCTATCTGATCCTGACTGAGAATAAGCCCTCATAGTTCTTTGAATGCTATCTATTGTTTGATCCTTACCTGTATTCTTGTGCAAACGAACCCAATAAAAGCCCCTCGAGGAAGGGACTCTTGGCCCTTCCCCTTTGAGGGATCAGCCACCTTTCCTCCCCAAGCAGATCATGTCTTGGTAGTTTCACTTTCATCTGTGGTAGACAGGGGACTTTGTGGGCAAAGTTACCCCCACAGTGCTTTTTCCTTCTGGTAGGCTAAGTTGTAGGATGTCCCCAAGATTCTGCCCCCTGGTGTACACCCCTGTAAATTCCTTCCCCTTGAGTTGGCTAGAGCCTGCGAAGATGATGGAATAAGTTATTCCCATGATGATGTTACATTGCCTAAGACTGCAGAAATTTTCACCTGCAGGTGTTGAAGAAGCAAGCTGCCATGTTGGGGGAGAGCCATGTGACTAGGACCCTAAAGAAGGCCTCTCAAGTGATTGTGTCTGGCTTAGGTTGCTCCCCCCCCCCTCTGCTAAATTAGTGGTAAGTTATCATGACTATAGAAAACTAATACATTATACATTTTTGCTATTCTATACTCTGAGTTATTAAAGCATATGCTGGAAATTTTTGTTCTATTCTCATGTCTCTTAACTGCATATATTTCCCATTAAATTTGTTTCTTCATACTATGTCTTGGGCTTCCTTCAGATTTATCTGTAGTTTCACTAATTCTTTCTTCAGCTGGTTTCATCGATCAGCTTTTGCTCTGATAATACAGTGTAACAAACAACTTAAAACCTCAGTGGCTTGGGTATCTCTTCCTCACATTGCACATTAGTGGCTGCAGGGTGGGTTCAGTGTCTCTGCTCCAGGTGATGGGTCGAGTTCATTCAACAGGAAGAGAGCAGCCCCTGTCTGGGACCTGAGGTTTGGGTGGTGTGCAAGAGGGCTGCCTGAGACTTGGAATGCTTCCTAGAGCCTCTGCTCATAACTGGTAGCCAGCAGCCAAGCCTGACATCAATGACATGGCGAACTAGACTCTTCATTCACAGAAGATGAGAAGAAAAATTTTAAACAACAATACAATATATTAAATTGTTCTGTTTTTTCATTAACAATATTTTAATTCTATTGTTCTTAAAAATATTACAATGACAGAAAACCTGACATATCATACCTTTGAGAAGTCTGCAACTAGACTAATTGGAAATAAACACATCTCCCACCACTGCTACATACAAATATGTGAAGTTGAATAAGCAAAGGTTTAGAAAACAAATTGGAAAAGAAGGATGAACATACCCACATGTATATATGTGTGCAGTTTTTCTTAAAAATGTTTAACATGGTTGTCCTTTATTTTACTTGGCTCAAAGAAATTCTCCACCTAAAGCTATTTATGTGTATCTATACTCAGGCAATATCATGAAGCAAAAGGGGTTCTTTCTGAAATCTCTTTGTTCTTTTATAATGTCTTAGTCTTGATATATATGTTCTATTCCATCTTTTGTCAAATATTTTACAAACATTAAAATTCTTAGAATGCTGCATTTGCTGTGCTTTTGGTGAAGTAAATTGTCCTTTTTGATTCACCCACTAATTTCATCTTTCTCATGGCAATTTGCTTGCTCATGGGCCTTATCATTTGAGTTTCATGTATCCTAGGCAGTGGCTGAGTTCCTATGAGGCAGTTTTCTATTTCGTTTTTTGA